GTGAGGATATGGTTGTATCTATGGGACGCTGGACCCGGTTTCCAGCAGGTGCTGCTCCCCACCAATAGATGGAGCTTGGTTTAAAAAAAAAAAAAAAAGGGGGAGGACCACCACTTCCCGCTTTTTTGAGCCAATAATTTTCAGTGTCTGAACCGTAGTTACGATATTCTCAAAAATAGAATGGTCCTTAGCAAAAGCGCCCTGCTCCCATCCTACCAAGCGAGGGAGCTGTTCTGTGAGACGTACCGCAAGTGCCTTGGCCAAGATTTTATAAGCCACATTTAGAACCGATATCGGGCAATAGTTGCGGACGTCTCTTTTGTCCCCTTTTTTGTATAACAAAGCAATAAAACCTTTTTTTTTTTTCTTTTTTTTTTCTTTTTTTTGTCGGGCTGCTCCATCTATTGGTGGGGAGCGTCACCTGCCGGAAACCGGGTCCAGCGTCCCATTGATACATCTTTTAGTACAGAGAATGTCCCGTTAATGCATCTTATAACTCAGAGTGCATTGTTTATTGTTTCCTAGGGCTATGACCATTTATTTCGCATCCTGGTGCTCCGTTATCCCATAGAGCTGCCAGTATCAGCCATCCCATATTGGAGCACCCCTTTTCTCTTAGCCCTACCTTATTCAGCAGCTCCCCTATTCGCTATTGCTATGTCTGTTCCTTCAAACCCGTGAAACCCTTTAAACCCTTTAAACCCTTTCCTTTCTCAGGGCCCATAACCAATAAAACCCTTGACAAAGTAACAGGGGAGGGAACCTGACATCAGCGCTCTGTTATAAATTTGGCATAGAAAGGGAGCGAAGGCCTCCCATGAACTTAGAAAAAGTTCTACCAGTATTCCATCTATTCCTGGGCGTTTTCCCAGGGTTCGTTTGACTGCTGCACGGACCTCTCATTCTGAGAACGGGGCTTCAAGACAGTCCTTTGTCTGTGCATCAATACATACCGAAGAGCAGTCCCAAAAACCCGAGTTTTCTGACAGGTCTGAATCAAAGTTGTCAAAAATCCTCCGCGAAGAGACTATGTCGCGAAAATAATCTAGCGCATATGAGCATAGATCCTGAGGTCATTGTGTCATAGCCCACTATGCCCCGAATCTTCAGCCATTCCAACCAGTACGCCTGTTTCTGCATATCCAGTCTTTCTAATTGACCCAAGGCCATTATGGGACAAGAGGCACAGCTAGAAACAACTTCAACTGCAACTCATCCAGCACAGGGCTACTGTCAACAATGACGTAACAGACCCTGCATAATGCTATAAGTAGATGGACTGTAATTGATAGGCAGTCGGGTCTCATTAGATCGGGTTCGATGACTCAGTTTGTTTTTGAGATACTGTTGATCAGATGGATAGGGTTCTCCCATCATCAGACATATATTGGTTAAACGTGCATCCGTAGGCAGGTGGAGTTACCAACACATCTCTGCATAGGTACGCTGGACCCGATTTCCAGCAGACACATTCACAGCGTTGTACAGGGATGCTGGACCCGTTTTCCAGCAGGTGCAGCTCCCGACCAATAGATGGAGCCTTCAACGCTGGGACCTACTTACCGGGGATGCTCTTATCACCTCGCTAAGTAGGCTTCCCGTATACGAAGTTAAAAAAAAAAAAAAAAAAAAAAAAAAAAAAGACATTAGGCCTCTAATCTTTTGTCCGTCCAGTAGAGATCCGCAAAGGGATCCTGGCCCAGATTGGCTTCCGTCGCTTCCACTAAACTTTTCAGTTTCGTTTCCTTCCATGGGCGGTTGGCGGCCTTCATGCGAGAGAATACCATTAGTGCCACCCTGACGTTTTCCACCCCAACCTCAGCCCAGTGCTCATCGGAATCAAACAGGTCCTTGGCCTGTAGCCACCCCTTCATTTGGGCAGAAACCCAGGCTGGGATCCCTTTTTTTTTTTTTTTTTTTTTTTTCCCTTGCGATATCCCTCTATCCTGGCGGTGGTAGGAGAACGTTCAGAATTGAGGGCTTACCTATCGGGCTGCTCCATCTATTGGTGGGGAGCGGCACCTGCTGGAAACCGGGTCCAGCGTCCCATTTGATACATCGTGAAGCACTGGGATTGATGTTCGTTGTTTCCTCCCAGACAGTACTTATGGTAAGTAGTGTGGGATCTGAGCCTGCTTTTGCTGCTATTTTTTCCCAAGAATTCCCTTAAAAACGGTTAAATTTATCAGGCCACGATTCTGGGCTCGGTGGAAATGGAGAACACTATTTGCCTGCGCTGTTCTTGTGAGAGTCCCGAAAGCGCAGGCAGGTGGGTACCTGCCCCACGAGGGCCGTCTTGGGGGAATTCCTCGAACACCCCTGCAGTGGAGCACAACCCTTATAAAGGCCTGAAAGGCCGTCCTGTCCAGATTCGATAGGCAATTGAATGTCCTTCGGGACATCCGTTAAAATTGGAACTATACAGAGAAGATTAGCATA